TTATTTTGAAAATCTTGCCCCATTCAAATGAATGGGAAAATTCTACTTCAGCATACTTTCAGCTAGCAAAGCCATTCAGGTGTCAAAATGTTCAGCATTTTCAGGGGGATCTTTCAACAGTCAGCATCCATACGCATTTTCTTCAGAAAATGCAATTTTCTAGTTTCTCTTTCATTTGCTGCTTTAAAGTGCCTTAGATTTTGTTACTTATTTATCTGCTTTATATTTCACTTACATTGTGTGGCATTTATGTGGATGGCAAAGTACACATTGTACAGTGTAGCATGTCCCCCCCAAGCAAGGATGACACTTTACTGGTGGTTTTGGTGTTTTATTCCTTTGTGAACCTTATGAGCTTTATGTACACCGTCCTCAACCGTAGGAGCTGAAACAAAACAAACTTTACTCTGATAAGCATTTACATACAATATACAAGAACTCCATCTGAACTGTAGTGGAGTAGAAGTATCAAGTACTGTAGTACAAAGAACAAATACCCCAAAATTTTGATCAGATTTGGAAGGTGTAGTACTGTAATATGGGGAATGCATGCTGCTTTTGAATGTCATTTCTTTAACTTCTTATTTTGAATGTCCTTTTTCCTTTTATCAGATTTCCACCTCTTCAGCTTGTTGTTGCTGAATCATTTGAATTTCTTCCTGGGATCCACAGAATCATCTTTACTGCAAAAATATATTTTCAAAGATGGTATTAAAGTCTCTCAACTTCATTTACCTTTCCTCTTGAGGACATTTTAAATAAGCTTTTGGTTGACTTTATTAGACCAGATTCTGATATCAAGGCTTTAATTTTCATGAATAAAATTTTTTCTACTTCATCTTCAGCAGAGGTCACTGGCGCTGTTCCCCACCCAACTGAAGCAGACAAACACTGAGTCTCTCTCAGCATGCTCAGCCTGTGAACTGTTGCAGATGACTTGGTGCTGCCCCCTGTTGACAGCAGGTATAAATAAAATAAGTTTAAATATTTAAAAAAACGTTTTGTGTAACTTGAGCAAAGTTTAGATTTATCTTGTGCCAGCCTTTATTATTCAGAGGCTGATTTGTGTCTTGACATTGGCTTTCTACAGGGCATAGCTGACATAGGGGCGTCTGTGGTTCAGGAGGTAGGATGGGTTGACACCTAACCTGAAGCTTGGCAGGTCAGTTCTGAGCTTCTCCAGTCTACATGCCAAAGTGTCCTTGAGCACGACACTGAA